TGATGGACTTTTAATTACTAGAATTATTTTACAACTTTTGTATCAAATGCTTACATTTTAGCTGGTATTTTAAGTTTAACATCGTATTCACATCGTCTTCAGCCAACGAATACTGTGAAAAGAACATGTATACATGATGTTTAATACAAAAAAAGTCACGAAATATTTGAATATGTTAGATTCATGTTGCATAATTATGATTTTTTTATAGTACATTTTATTTTTATCATATTCAGCCCCCGTTTGATTTACATTATTATCTCATTAAAATGAAAAATATGACCGTTATCCATCACATCAACATTTAAATTCAAATTTTATATCTCTTATGTGGGCTTCAATAACGACTATATTTTTCATTCTCATTCTACAATAATTTGGCTCAAACAGGGCATAAACCTATGTTTGAGTTACATTTTTAATTGTTAAAAATTTACATTTTATAGTTAGACATTAATTTTAAATTTTTAACTACACAATTCATCATATAGTAGTCAAGTTGAAAATAAATTCAAGTTATTTTCATATAAACCTTTGACCTTTTGTGATTTATCAACAAATTTATTGTTGACTTTTATTAGACGAGCGAGATTTAATAATAATCATATTTTAATTTTAATTAGATTTTAAGTTATCAAATAAGCCCTAATGTACGTACCATTTCATAAAAAAATGTTAATAAATAAAATCCATTGCCTTTGACTCAGAAAAGGACTGATAAGAAATGAAAACAAAATCAGAGATTCACTATACTCTCTCTCTCTCTCTCTCTCAACCTGCAAAGTCGGTTCTGACCTGTTCGCATTAACACCTCAACAAAGTCCGAAATTTCAAAAATGCCCTCCCGTCATCTTCTGACTCGACCGCCGGCACCGGTTCACCACAAGACCACAAGCCATCTTGTAGCGTCGCTGGCCGGTGGACTGACGGCGGCGGTTACTTTTCTCATTCTACTTACCCTCTGCTTCAGGAGGATCAGAAAGAAGCGGACAGCCCCTTCTGCTTCTGATACTGATTCCAAGAAGCCTCCTCACCGGCTTTCTTACTCTCTCCTCCGTCGCGCCACCAACAATTTCTCCTCTTCCCTCCGCCTCGGTCAGGGGGGTTTCGGGTCTGTCTACCGGGCTACACTTAAACCAAACCCCATCACCAAGAGCTCTGCTTTTCATGTTGCTGTGAAGCTCATGGATTCCGGGTCTTTACAGGGAGAGCGCGAGTTCCAGAATGAATTGCTCTTTTCCTCGAAGATTGACTGTATATACATAGTTTCCGTGATGGGTTTTTCCTCTAATCCTGCTAAACGTCGCATGATTTTAGTGTATGAGCTTATGGAGAACGGAAGCTTACAAGACTGTCTTTTTCATCGAAAAAGCGAAGAGCTGAAGTATTGGGATAAGAGGTTTTTGATTGCTTTGCATATAGCTAAAGGGCTCGAGTATTTACATCATCACTGTGATCCCCCTGTTATTCATGGGGATATTAAACCGAGCAATATTTTGTTGGATGGGAATTTTAACGCTAAAATCGGAGATTTCGGGTTGGCAAGGCCAAAGTTGGAGGAGAACATCCAAGGTGAGGTGAAGAAGCAGGGGAATGGGGTGGAGGATAATGGATCTGTCATGGAGACAGAGAGTGTGACCACCACAAGCGGGTTCGAGGAGTTTAATAATGTTCTTAATCTTGGGGGTGTAGTTGTGAGGGTTGAGGCGTCACCAGAGGCAGTGATCGGGGTGGAGTTGTCCCCTGAGGCGGATGCAGCTCCTGTGGTGTCGCCAAGGACAGTTGCAGAGATGGCATCTCCATCTGAGGGGTTGGAGGAGACAAGCATCCCAGAGGGGAATTTCGATAGGTTTAGTGTAGAGAGTGGGGGCGAAAAGAGCAGGTGGAAGAAGAATAAGAAGAGCATTTCGGGTAAAGATTGGTGGTGGAAACAAGATAATGGAGGTGAAGGGGAGTCAGGAAAAGTGAAAGATTATGTGATGGAATGGATTGGGAATGAGATCAAGAAGGAGAGGCCAAAGAGCGACTGGATTGGAGCCTCATCAAGCTCGGGGGTTGTTTCAAAGATGGAGAAAAAGAAGAAGAAGAAACGGCGATTGGATTGGTGGGTGTCATTGGATGATGAGAAGAATCCCAAGGAGAAGAGAAGGCCTGCAAGGGAGTGGTGGAAGGAGGAATACTGCGAAGAGCTTGAGAGGAAGAAAAAGAAGAAGAAAAAACAAGCACAGGGGGCAATGAGCGATAATCCATATAGTGAAAATTATTGGCCGAGGGATGATGAATTTTACGCTGATAGAAAGAAGAAAAGGAGCAGGAGCCGAAGCAGTAGAGGTAGTATGGACTGGTGGTTGGATGGTCTCAGCGGTGAGCTATGGAAAGCACGGAGAAATAGTTATGATTCAGTCAGTGGGGAGATACCTAAGAGTGGGGGTATGAGTAGCACACCAAGTATGAGGGGAACCGTGTGCTACATTGCGCCGGAGTATGGTGGTGGTGGGGATATATCTGAGAAATGTGATGTTTATAGTTATGGAGTTCTGTTATTAGTTCTCATTGCTGGACGTAGGCCGCTTCAGGTGACAGGTTCACCTATGTCGGAGTTCCAACGAGCCAATCTCCTATCCTGGGCACGTCGTCTTGCCCGTGCTGGGAAGCTTCTTGATTTAGTTGATCATAATATTCAATTTTTAAATAAAGAGCAAGCCCTGCTATGCGTCACAGTGGCACTGCTCTGTCTGCAAAAGTCACCTGCTTGCCGACCTTCCATGAAAGAGGTGGTTGGGATGTTGTCTGGAGATTTAGAATCTCCCCAGCTACCAGTTGAATTTTCCCCTTCACCTCCTTCCCGCTTCCCATATAAGTCTCACAAGAAGGTCCGTTGAGTATTGGATTGCATGAAGAAATCTAAAATTGTTGCACATCAATGATTCATGTAAAGAAAGATATATATCGTATTAACAATGCAATGGATTTTAGCATCTTTCGTGCGTTTCTTGGTCGTACTGTTTTTCTATCAGTAATGGCTCTCTCTATCTCATTGCATGCTGACTTGGAATTGAAATTTACCAATCGACAATTTTTTCTCTTGATTATTTGGAGAAGGCTCTTAGAGCCATCCTTGTTTTTCCTTTTTGAGGCTAAAGTAAATTTGTAAATATAGAAAATGCCTATGAGAATATTAAGCAGAACTTATGATCTTCGAGTTAGGGGTGGAAGCTGTCATCATAACTGCACCCAATTTCCCTGACCAGACCACTTTATGGACACGTAATCTTACGTCCTCTTAAGGAAAAAACTGGTAACATATGGTCATAGTAATATCAACAGTTGCCTAAATAACATCCTGTTACGTTGGTAGAAGTAGCGGCCCTTTAATGTGGCTAGCTGCTTTAGCATGGAACATAAACTCTCAGTTTGGAGGATAAGGATGCAGGGATCAGAAGCTCTATTTCTTGAAATTTATATATTTATATAAAACATGGATCATTAAATCGTCACTTTGGAAGATAAGGATGCTTCATGCTTTCCGGTGCCATTGTTTGAGCACAACTTTTGGATATTTGTAGTGGGAGCCGATATACTCAAATCTTTGCTTAGCTTAACTGCGACTTTCTTTGTCTCGTTCCGTTCAATTCATATTCATCCTCAGATGTGAGTTTCTTTAATTAAAAAAATCTTAAAAGTTGACAGAATTTGACTAGTACAAATGATTATTTGGACCACAAATCCATAGTGGTTTTCTACAAGCATTAACTTTTATTTTGAACATTGAATCCTGAAAAGCATTTGCATATGATTCATCCCAGACAGTTCTTTGCCTTGCGCTCTTCCTGGCTGCAAGCAAAGGTTGAACTGGATCCTTCTGGACATTCACCGACTCTGTAATCAGCAAAAAGCCTGCAAATTCTACTTATATGGTTCATCAAGTTAGTTGGAAAATTTTTAATACTTTTCTGTTTAACCAGTGATGACGATTTCAAGTACAAAGTTAAGCATTTAAATGTATTTGGAGACTCTTCTTGTGAATCCTGTGCTATTTGGATAAAATAAGATTTTGAGAACAGGCAAATTTCTGGGAAGTTTTGTGTAGTTGAACATGGAATAATGAGAATCTTAATTAGTTGAGCTCTTCTAATATTTTTACTCTTGCAACCAGCGTCTAGGTTACAGTTGATTAAAAGTTATTTAAGATTTTACTTCATGTTATATTTCATGACCATATATCAAAATGTCTTGGTTGGTTCATCATAAACATACCGTACTTTCAAATGTTGAAATTCAAAATGTTTCCAGGATTTCATGATTGATCCAGTATTTCAATGTATTTGGGGACTCTTCTCGTGAATCCCATGCTATTTGGATAAAATAAGATTTTGAGTCTTGACAAATTTCTGGAAGTTTTGTGCAGTTGAACAGTGAAGCATGATCATCTTAATTAGCTGAACTCTTCTAATATTTTTACTTTTGCAACTAGAGTCTAAGGTATAGTAGGTTGAAAGTCATTTACGATTTTACTTCTTTTTATATTTCATGACCACATATTGAAATGTCTTGGTCATCATAAACATACTGTACTTTCAAATGTTGAAATGCAGAAGGTTTGTAGAATTTCATGATTGATCAATCTTCTTGTGAATCCCACGCTATTTGGATAAATATGATTTTGAGTTTTGACAAATTTCTAGAAGTTTTGTGCAATTGAACATGGAGAAATGAGCATCTTAATTAGTTGAGCTCTTCTAATATTTTTACTCTTGCAACTAGAGTCTAGGTTACATTATAGTAGATTGAAAACCATTTATGATTTTGTGTCTTTTAATATTCCATGACGACATATCAAAATGTCTTGGTTGGTTCATCATAAACATAATGAAATGTTGAATTTCAAAAGGTTTCTAGGATTTCTTGATTGATCAAGTATTTCAATGCATTTGGGGACATTTCCTGTGAATCCCGCTATTGGGATAATATAAGATTGTAAGTCCTAACATATTTTTGAAACTTTTGTGCAGTTGAACAAGGAAGAATGAGCATCTTAATTAGTTGAGCTCTTCTAATATTTTTACTCTTTCAACTAGAATGTTGATTACAGTAGGTTGAAAGCCATTTATGATTTTACTTCTTTTTATATTTCATGATCATATATCAAAATGTTTTAGTTGGTTCATCATAACACATACTGCATTTTCAAATGTTGAAATTCAAAAGGTTACCCGAGATTTCATGATTGATCAAGTATTTCAATGTATTTGGGGACTCTTCGTGCTATTTGAAGAAGTTTTGTGCAGTTGAATAGAGAAGAATGAGCATCTTACTTAGCTGAGCTCTTTTAATATTTTTACTCTTGTAACTAAAGTCTAGGTTATAGTAGGTTGAAAGCCATTTATGATTTTACTTCTTTTTATTTTCATGACCACGTATCAAAATGTATTGGTTGGTTAATCATATAAACATAATGTACTTTCAAATGTTGTAATTCAAAAGGTTTCGAGGATTCAATGATTGATCAAGTATTTCAATGTATTTGGGGACTCTTCCTGTCAATTCCGTGCTATTTGGATAAAATAAGATTTTGAGTCCTAACAAATTTGTGGAATTTTGTATAGCTGAATGGGGAAGCATGAGCATCTCAATTAGCTGAGCTCTTCTAATATTTTTACTCTTGTAACGAGAGTCTAGGTTACAGTAGGTTGAAAGCCATTTATGATTTTTACTTCTTTTTAATTTTCATGGCCACGCATCAAAATGTCTTGGTTAGTTCATCATAAACATACTGTACTTTCAAATGTTGAAATTCAAAAGGTTTCCAAGATTTCATGATTGATCAAGAATTTCAAAGTATTTGGGGTCTCTTCTTGTGAATCCCGTGCCGTTTGGATAAAATGAGATTTTGAGTTATAACAAAATTTCGGAAGTTTTGTGTAGTTGAATAGGAAAGAATGAGCATTTTAAATAGCTGTGCTCTTCTAGAGCCTGTTTGATATTGATTAAAATTGAAAAATTAGTCGTTACTATTGATTTTTATTAGACGTGTGGGATCCAATAACCGCTATATTTTCAATTTTAATTGGATTTTAATCAATACCAAACAAGATCCTAATATTTTTACTCTTGCAACCAGAGTCTAGGTTACAGTAGGTTGAAAGACATTTATTATTTTGTTTCTTTTTATATTTTATGACCACATATCAAAATATCTTGGTTGGTCCATCACAATAATAATGTACTTTCAAATGTTGAAATTCAGAAGGTTTTCGGGATTTCATGATTGATCAAGTATTTCAATGAATTTGGGGGACATTTCCCGTGAATCCCGTGCTGTTTGGATAAAATAAGATTTTTAACTCCTCACAAATTTCTGGAGGTTCTATGCAGTTGCACACGGAAGAATGAGTATCTTAATTTGCTGAGCAAGCTCTTCTAATATTTTTACTCTTTCAACTAGAGTCTAGGTTACAGTAGGTTGAAAGCCATTTATGATTTTACTTGTTTTTATATTTCATGACCACATATCAAAATGTCTTAGTTAGTTCATCATAAACATACTGTACTTTCAATGTTGAAATTCAAAAAGTTTCCGGGATTTCATAATTGATCAAGTATTTTAATAAATTTGGGGACTTCTCCTGTGAATCCTGTGCTATTTGGATAAAATAAAATTTGAAGTCCTGACAAAGTTCTGGAAGTTTTGTATAGTTGAATAGGGAAGAATGAGCATCTTAATTAGCCGAGCTCTTCTAATATTTTTACTTTTGTAACTAGAGTCTAGGTTACATTTAGGTGAAAATTGATAAGTACATTTTTGTGCTTTTATTTGGGGCCATAATATTAAGCTTTTGGGTCGTTTTATTATTGGATTTTATTTTACTTAGTTTAATTTTATCTTATTTCAGTTTTGAACTCGTTTCTAAGCAATTAAGAAAGAAAGACGGATAAATTGACCAATTGATGGAATTTTAGAGACTAATATGCATTTGAGTAAAAGTTAAAGCACTGCAATTGAAATAATTTGATGTGGAGAACCAAGATGGAAGAAATATTGCGAAAGTTTTATAACTGGGCAGCTGCCCAATTATATTTGTTGGGCGACCGCTTGACCCTCAACCGATTTAACATGGGCCATTTTCTAAGCCTGGGCGGTTGCCCCATTTTATACTCGGCGCCCGCCCAGACCAAATCGGGAAATTTTTTTTAATTTCCTAATTTGAATACAACTCTTATGAAAATGAATTTTGGGGCATCTTTTAAAATCCTAGGACCTTCCAAAAGTAAGAAACGCATTATAATATATTTTGAAGAGCTTTTGGAGCAAAGAACAATTGAAGAACACAAAGATCAAAGTCAAGAACACGAGAATAAATTCAAGAATTATATTAGATGATGTCGATTCTTCAATATTCTTTGTGTTTTCTTTTTCATAATATGATAGACTAGATTTATTTGTGCTAGGAAAACAATGAACTATGTAATATGCTTTTTATTTATTAGTTTTACATTTATGACAATAAAAACATGTTTTGGATATTTGAATGGTTTATATGATCTTATTTTCTCCATAATTATTGTGCACATAATTGTGTGAGTATGGTGGCTTATTTCATACATTCGAAAGAAGGGGAATATGTTCAACATATATAAATTGTCATAGGGTCTGATAGGGGACAAAAATATACCGCTATGTCTTGTGTGAATCTTCACGTGTTCATAAAAATCATGTATTCTTGTATGTTCGTATTCACCATAGAGATATAATCGGGTCATTTATTAGAATAGGTTTGGCATTACTCGAGAGAGAGTGTTGAATAATTTAGGAACATTGTTTCATCAATATTTCACCGTGTTGTCAAAGTGTAGAATTGAGTTTAAAAAGAATTATTATATA